ACCAAGTAGAGGCATGTTCATAGTTTATGATGAGAAGGAGGATGGTAGAGCTAAACTCATGTTTGTTGCTGAGGAAAAAGCTAATTTTCCAGCAAATAGTAATAGTAGTTACTTAAATAAGAAATTATGACATTATAGGCTTGGACATCCAAGTGATAGAGTATTGACTCAAAGTATTAAGGATTGTAATTTGAAAGTTCACAATATGAATGAAAATATATTTTGTGAATCATACAAATATGGCAAGTCTCATTCTCTACCATTCAAACTATCAACCTCTCATGCCTCTAAACCATTAGACATAATTCATACTAATTTATAGGGGCCTTCACTACTAGCATTAGCGAATGGTTTTATGTCTTATATATTATTCTTAGATGATTATAGTAGATTCTCATGGATATATCCATAAAAACTAAAATGAAGCCTTGTCAATGTTTATTCAGTTCAAAAACTTTGTTGAAAACCAATTTGAAAGCAAAATCAAGGTTGTGCAAAGTGACTAGGGAGGAGAGTACAGAAGTTTCTCTAAAGTTTTACAAGATTTAGGCATCCTTTTCAAACATTTATGCCCTCATATATCTCCTCAAAATGGGAAAACTAAAAGGAAACACTGTCACATTGTTAAATTAGGATTAACCTTACTTGCCTAAGCAAAAATTCCTCCATTCTACTGGTAAGAAGCATTTCACATAGCCACAGAATTGATAAATGTACTACCTACAAGTGTTTTAGGTGGAGGAACACCCTACTTAAGACTTTTCACCAGATATCCTGACTATAGCCATTTAAAGGTGTTTGGATTAGCTTGTTATCCTTGTCTTAGGTCCTATAATCATCATAAACTCTAATTTTGAACCATAAAGTTTGTTTTTATAGGTTATAGTAACTCACAAAAGGGTTACAAATGACTCAGTCCCATAGCCAGGATTCATATATCAAGACATATTGCTTTTAATGAATTTGATTTTCCTTTCTCTACAGGTTTTATTAATATAAGATCTGTACCTGTTGAAGAGGAAGTTATTCTTAAAGGCTTCTTTAAATCATACAACTCAGGTATGCCCCTTGTCTGTCTAGCCATGAATGACACTCAACCCTCAACATCTGACACTTCTATAGGCAATCCTTTAGGGCCCATTTGGTATCATGGAATTAGGAAGGTAGAAATGGATATGGAAATAGAATTGAAAATTTATCCTATTTGGTTGGCTAAAATCAAATTGAATTGAGTTTCTACATAGAGTTCATTTCCGTCAAAATTGATGGAAATCATTTTCATAATAAAAACCAAGTTTTGCAATTCCATGATTTATTTTTTATTTTTTACCCCTCCCTCTCGATTTTTGTCTTCTTTGTATTAGCCCTCTCTTGTCTCAACCTTCTGATGATCAACTTTTCGAATTGGACAAAGACAACATCAACAAGAATAGCCTCTTCTCCATCTCCTCATCTACGATGACGGCAAGCACCAGATCTGGGGAGAGAATATAGCTAACACTTGTTCTTCATCCTCCTTCTTCGTCAATGGTGACGGCGATGATGATGATAATCTCCATCAATAGTGATGGCAAGTACTAAATCTGGAGAGAGAATATTTGTGTTAATCTCATCGCTTGTGTCTTTTGTATATTTGCATCTTTCTTCATTCCTTTGCATAGATAATCTATTTGTTCCTAAATTTGGGTTCTGATTTTTCTGGATTATTGTTGTTGATTGGATGGAGATTTGGCTGGTGGTTTTTCAAGCAGATGGTCGAGGGATTTTTATCCCTAATTTTAGATGGTACTTTAGTATTTTTACATTTAAAATATACATATTAATTAAATATTATAATAGGATTCCATAAACATACAAAACATATTTTTAAACCTCATTTCCATTTCCACTTCCATGTCTATTTCCATCTCCATTTCCATTTCTATTTCCATCAAAATCATTTCCATTGTACCAAACAAGCCATTAGTGATTGAATCTGTGCCTGTTGCTGCCTCCACTTCAATGATGCCATCTAGCCCAATTCCTCTATCTCCTCAATTTGAAACATATTCAAAATATTCAATGAGATTGTAAAAGTTCATCTTCTATACAACACTCATCTATAAGTGTAGAAAATTCATTTTCCTAAAGTGCTCCTACTGAAGCTACTTCAATATCATCACAACCACTAGCTAATACACATGCTATAGTAATACAAGGCAAAGTAGGTATTATTAAAACTAAACATCCTTATGTTGGTGTTATTCATGTTGAACATCAGGATGTATTTTGTGAACCTTGAACTGTTAAAGAAGCATTGAAATTTGAAGATTGGTAGAGAGCAATGAAAGAGGAATATAATGCTCTTGTTTGAAATCAAACCTAAAAACTCGTACCATGTATAGGAAAAGAGAATCTAGTTGATTATAAATGGGTATTTAAAACCAAACTCAATGTGGATTGTTCTCTCAAGGCCAGAAAAGCAAGATTAGTTGCCAAGGGCTTTCAACAACATCTAGGCATTGATTTTGAGAAAACATTTAGTCCAGTCCTAAAAGCTTCCACTCTAAGGTTTGTTCTTACTCTTGCTATAACCTTTAGGTGGCAAATAAGGCAATTAGATATTAATAATGCTTTCTTAAATGATTTTCTACAAGAGTTCTCATGAGAGAACCAGAAGGATTTGTTGACAGGAAATATCCTAATCATGTTTGTCTCCTCAACAAGGCTCTATACAAACTAAGACAAGCTCCTAGAGCTTGGTTTGAATGACTAAGTTCAACTTTACTTGGTTAGAGATTTTTACACTCAAAGGTTGATACAAATCTATTTTTCTAGAAACAAGACATAATAATGTTATTTGTCCTAGTATATGTGGATGACATAATTGTTACAAGAAACTCAAATTCAGTCATGGAAAATTTCATTACACAACTCAATAATCTCTTTGTATTAAAAGATTTAGGCACTTTGCAGTACTTCCTTAGTGTCAAAGCATATAGAGATGAAACAAGACTATATTTGAAATAGGAGAAATATATTTATGACCAACTTCAGAAAAGTGGAATGGCAAATTCTACCTTAGTTCCTACTCCTATGGTTGTAAATCGTCACTACTCAAAAGAAGAAGGCAAACCACTAAAAAATCCAACAATATATTAGCATATCATTAGAGCATTGCAATATTTAATAAATACAAGACATGATATCATGTTTGTTGTGAACAAACTCAGTCAACTCCTAAGTTCACCTACAAAAATCCACTAGCAAACCCTCAAGAGAATACTACACTACACTTTCTCAAAGGTACAACAGATCTAGCTTTGCATGTGAAACTGTGTACTCACCTGACTTTACAAGGTTTTTTTATGCCAATTGGGCTGTCTACCCAGATGACTGATGGTCCATGGGAAGTTACTACATATTTCTTGGCAAATCATTGATTTCATGATCTGCCAGAAAGCAACAAGTCGTGGCTCATTCGAGTATCGAGTCAGAGTATCAAGTGCTGGAAAATCTAGCGACTAAACTTGCTTGGATTCAATCTTTCATTCAAGAACTTGGGTTTCATTTGAAAATGTCTCCAGTTGCGTGGTATGACAACCTCAGTGCAACGACATTGGCATCAAATCTTATGTTTCACATTCAGTCAAAGCACATTGAATTAGATGTTCATTATTTGAGGGACAGAGTGCTTTCCCACCAACTCTTGGTGAAATACATCCCATCATCTGACCAAATAGTAGACGTGTTTACTAAGGCCTTATCTCACTCCAAATTTAAGGCCTTTCATGACAAGTTTGGGCTTGTAATCTCAACTACCCCAAGCTTGAGAAGGAAAGTTAAGAAAATTAGCATAAGGCCCAATACTAAATGCAATAACATGCCCAATCTTCTTTTGGACAATTGACTATCTGTACTAAGCCTGTAACAATTACTAGATCACTTTTTTATTCTTTTCTCTTTTTTATACATGTCTCGTGTTGATGTATTCTAGGCTTGTGTACCCTCCCTATATAAAGCAATATAATAGCTTGGGCCAGTGAGCCACTCTTATAATATTCATTTCTTAAGTTGCAGAACGTGGATTCAAGCCTCAAGGGGCTGTGAAGGGTGTGTGCATGTGTTTCCTTTCATGGGGAAGGTGTTGGCAAAAAAAAAAAAACAGAGGATGAGGTATAAATATGAAGAGGAACACAAAAAGTTCTTGACTTATGAAAACGTCAAAACAAAGGCAAGTCATTGATCAACACCGGTTAAGATAAGTTAAGATCCACCATAATGTGATCACTTTTATTCATGCGTCAAACAGAGGAAAACCATACACAAACTTTACAAACATAGGAAGTAGCTTGAACATATAATCCATATATCGCCAACAAACTTGACAACAACAAATTAAAATGACAGGTCTGGACATATAATCCATATTGCCAACAAACTTGACAACAACAAATTAAAATGACAGGTCTTGAGTATAAAATATAAAGGGAGAATAACATTTAAAGACCCTCTAACAATATTATTTATAGTTAAGAATCCTAAAATTTTAAAATTTCAAAATAGGACCATAATCTTTAACTGGAATTAAAATTTTCCTGGGTAAATTTTTTCAGCACTTATCTTTATATTTTCAGTATTAATCTTTTATATTTTCAACACTCATATTTTAGCATCACTTCTAGTGCCCAATTTTTTAATTTTTCAGTAGTCATTTTAGATGTTTTCAGTACCCATATTTCTTGTTTTCAGTACTATAAAACATTTATCTTCTTTTCAGTACTGAAGTCATGAAAAATAAGTATTGAAAACATCAGAGATGATTATTAAAAAAAAAAATTTGAGCACTAAAAATGCTAAAAATGACTATTGAAAATGTAGAAAGATGAGTACTGAAATATAAAAGATTAGATCGAAAAAATTCAATAAAAAAATTAATCCCAACTAAAGACCATGATTATATTTTTTTCTAAAATTTTATAATTTTAGGATACTTAACTATAATTAATATTGTTGTTGTAACTTGTCACAGAAGGAGTTGGACGACGTAATGTTTGAGGGACTCGCCATCGGTGAATCTGTCTTGCTGGTTTTCATAAACAACCTCACTTGTTCGAGCCAAATTGATAACACAATCAAGCACAGACTTTGGGACGTTGTGTGGATTATTCAGACACTGTTCGTTAATATCCTTCCAGCAATTTTTTATGTCATCGTTGAGCATTTTATAAGCCTCTTCTTCTGAAGCTCCAAATTGGTTCATGCAACAGTCCACTCCTGAAGCAACATGCTCTCTCTCCTGCTCAAACTACACACACACAGATATCAGTGCAAAACCATGGAGCTTCTCGTATCATTTCTTCCATTTAATATTAATATGATAGCGCTCTTTATGACACGCAAGGTGGTAATAGGCTAGCTAGGTTTTGGTTAAATAGATCTAACCTATTTATATAAATAGACTTAATTATATATCTAAACATGACTTTTTTGTTAAATAGACTAGGCGGCCCATGCAAGCCTATTTACCTATTTCAATATTTTGATAAAATTTGAGTAAATTATACTATAACATATTATATAGATATTTACTTATATCGGTACAAGGGAGGAAATCATAAATAATAATTATTTTTTGCCACAAATTCATGATAATAATTAATTAATATGACATAAAATGAAATTTTGCTTTGTTTGTAAGTTTAATTTCTAACTTATAAAAATAAAATTTTAGAATGAATTAACAAAATTCATATTATTTATGTATTTATCCATCACATGACATATATATATATATATATTATGTAAATGTAATATAAAAATATAAACAAGTAGGCTTATAGGCCCAATTTTAAGTAAATAAGCCTGACTTAGTCATAATAAACCTGAACTTAGCCATATTGTTACCTGGATAGATCAGTAACTTTGTTAGGGTATAAGTTCTTGACACACCTTCTGATCTATTTTCACCCGTAATGATCACATAGAATATTATTCTAAAATAAGGATATATAAAAGAAATGGTAGAGGGTAGTGGTTTAATTGTTTCATTAGAAACATCAAAATTGATTTGGGTTGATGAATTCATATATATATGCATGGTGTCTTAAGCTGTACCTTATGAGTGACCATGTCATCCTTAAGTCTGCCAATGGTTGACACAGTCCTAATAATCTTGGGATCTGTGGCAAGCCATTCAAACACCACTTTGGTTGCAAGGTTTCCAAGGCCGAGAAATGAGGATAGCAGGAGTGGGAAAGCAGAAGAAGCAGCTCCATTATCCTTGTACTCCTCATAGCTTGGAACGTAGTGTTCATGGCACCATTCTGCTTCCATCAAGCACGCATTAGCCAAGTTGAAAAACTACAACCAGAATACGTAACCAAGTTAAAATGGAATGAAATATCATATATATGTTTGAAATTACAATAAGTTATAAAGTATTGCTTATATATACAGCTGGTTTAACATGTGGCATCACAAAAGTTGATGTCCCTTGTTTTGCAGTCACCATCTCCATTTCACTGCACAATTCCACAACTGCTTCGAACACCACTTTCATGCACTCTGGAAGATATTTAATGAGACCTATATCCCATATGGATAATCGGATAAAAGAAGTAATTAAGTCATAAAAATCATGATTAAATTTCGGTGACAGGATTGGCAAATAATATAAGAAATATATATATATATATATATATAATATGTGAATAAACATTTAAACCTGTGGATGGCCTCTGTGAAGGGCTCAAGTTCTTCAAGTTTGCCATACACATCATAGGTATCATCAAGAAAAACGATAATAGCAGCCAGTTTGCCAACTAACCTTCTTGCAATGTTGAATTGAGGATCAAAGGACAGGGATAAAGTCCAAAAGTAAGACTCCACCAGCCTATCTCTAGTATAGGGCACCTTTCTTGTAAAATCTGATTTTTTTCCACCACCTGTAACACAAATAAATTAAGCAAGAGTTTTTAATGTTAGGGAGAATCACGTTTAAAGACTCTCAGCATTTACTCTTATTTTTTATTTTCTATTTTAATATCAAAACTTTTGAAAGATAAATATTGAAAGCATTACTATGTAAAATATGAAAGACGAGTATTGAAAAATTCAATAATTTAAAAAAAATTTAAGTTCAACTAAGAACCATGGTCTTTTTCTAAAAATTCATAATTGTAGGATTTTTAATTATAACTAATATTTTTAAAAGGTTGTTAAATATCATTTTTCCTACTGTTATATATATCCTACGGATCATTATACAAATGTCAGATATGATAGCACTTTGCACTTACTTGGTGATATTGCCAAGTTCTTTTCGATGCAGTTTCTGCAACATATTGAAATCTAGCTTTGCAAAGTTGAGCAGCATTATCGTGTGATTTGGGGAAGGATGTTGCCGCTGGTAAGAAGACATGTAATGTCTTGCCGCTAGCCTAAGCAATCTCTTGTGCAGAGGCTGATTTAAGCAGTGGCTGACTTGCGCATTGAGAATAGGGCTCAATTGGTTGTTATCAGTGAGGGATTTAAGGTGAGTGTAAGTGAAATGAAGAGCTTCATCAAATATATTCTCTCCGTGAACCTCTAATTGTGCAGCTTCATACAGAGCCAACATTCCTTTGACGTCCTTGGTAAGATTTTGATTAATATTAAACTCTCCCTTGTCGTCCTTGAATCTTTCAAATACATCTGTCCATGTACATACGAATTAGTGAAAGTGCTTAAATTCTATGAAATGAATTAGTGTGAGTTCTTGAAATTAAAGAGAAAAGCTCTTCTCAGCTTAGTTCAACAGGTCAAGGGTGTCAAATCAGGTTATTTTACAGTATCGGGTGCAAGTCTTGGGATTGCTAGCTATGTTAAATAAAAATGCTAAACGTATCACACAATGAGGCCCGGATTAATCTAAGCAGATTATGGTAATGCCCCAGTTTTCCCTAGATACCGGCTGGTGGAATAAAGAAAAGATAGAAGCTCTTCTCATTAGACAATGCAAAATAATATATATTGACAAGTTAAGCTTGAATAACGTAACACTTACCAGATGAAATGGGATATCCATGTTGCCTCAACAATCGAAAGAGTAAAGCAAGAGAGTGAAGATCATCGTCTCCATCCTGATGCATGATGAGGATATTGTTGTTGCTGGTATAAATGCTCTGAATCTTTGCCAATGCTTCTTCAATCTCTTGTTCAAAGTGGTAAGAGACTCCAAAACGTTGGATCAACTCAATGAAGTTTAGGATTTCTGAACGACTCTGACGGTTGGAAGATATAAACATCTTTAGTTTCCTTTATGCACTTTATATTCCACGTTGTCATCAACATCCTGAAAAATCACAAACAAGCATGCATTTTCACATGCCATAACCAGGTTTAAGTTTAACTGATGAACACTCAACAGACAGGTAATGTTCATACATGTTTTTCTAATAGTAACAAACTTACTAGATATATTACAATCGGTCAATGGGGTGTCTGTACTTTATTAACTACGTACTGTAGATTCTGATGCATATTGAAGAAACATCCCCCAAATGTCAGAGTAAACTTGACACCTCTTCTTGTGTTGTCATGGTGAGATGCTGCAACAGACATGACTCCCATTTTGGAACTAAAATGCCTTTGGTAGAAATTAAGAGCTATGTATTGAATTGATTTATATAGAGGATTTCATTCACTGAATATACTTTTCTTTGACGTTAGGCAAGCGAGAGTACTAGCAAACATGTCACGTGATATTTAGAGAGATAATTAATAGAACATATGGACGAATCTACAACGTAACTAACAACTTTTATATGCTTTGCATGTTGTATGTATGATTTCGGTAATATTTTGCCCAATTTCTTGTTCACTAGCATGTGCAATGCCCGATGGCTAAATAGGCTACATAGGCTAATATTTCAGCTCCACGAACTATTAGGACAAAAAATAACTCACGTGGACAAAATTTATTGATACCTTAAAAATAATATGAATATAACTATGAGTTTTTATATTTTTAACAAACAAATATTTTCATTAGAGAATATATATAAAAATAATATTGCAACAGAATGCATATAACTATGAAATACTGAGCAAGTTTTCTATACTTTTTTCATTTCATTGCCCGATATCTTAGAAAGCCCAGAAGTATTACCATTATCTACCCAGAATAATCCAAAACCCTGTGTTCTTACCAATAGCAGCCTTACGTCTACCTTGGGAATGCCTTTAACAATTTTATTTAATGTGACACCCTTAATTATTTATCTCTTTACTTAACTTTTTTTGCCTTTTTCTGGGTAATTCACCTCTTATAATACATAATACTTCCTTCATCCCAAATTATAAGAAACTTTTAAATAAAATCTCACATACCAATAAATCTCATTAAATACATTTAACAACTTTATCTTTTCAAAATAAAAATATAATTTAAAAATACCCATTATTTAATATATATTGAAAAGAAAAGAGATGAAAATTAATTATAGAGAGAAAAAGGGTAATATTAAAATTGGTATATTTAATAAAACCTTAATTTATTCAAAGTGTTTTATATTTTAAATGGAAAAACTCCTTTAAAAATGCCATATAATTTGGGATAGAGGGAGTAATTAATAATGAAATTAAAGAGAAATATATATGGTGTTTTTCTGCCTTTTTCATGCCATCCTTCATAAACAAACAAGCACTTCAACAAGACAAAGGAGATCCTCAAATGGTAATAGAGTTGTTAAAATATAGTTACAGTTTCTAAAATAGGTTGAATATATCATATCATCTCGATAAGTAATATACCAACTTGATTGGGTTCAAATTTAATATAATGATATATATAAAATGTAACTGAATGACCAATATCCGAGTATTCCAAACTACACATTAAGATACAAGAATAGGCCAAGAGGTATGAGAGTTTCAAGTTAACGACCTAATTAACACGGTGAAGTTTCAATCACACAAACAAATTGGTGAGACCTAATTAAAGATCTCCAGAAAATTTTCTAGTTAAGATACGAGGAGTATTTTTTTTTTTTGTGAATTAATAGAGAATAAGTTTGTCCAGGTCAGAGCTGGTAATAGTGAGCCACAGGGGGTTGCTGGCTTGGCAAGATAGGTTGACATAACCTACATCTTGTGCAAGTTGTATGTTTACTAACCCGCCAACCCATCAATACAAAATATTGTTTATCTACATTTTTTTGAATTTTGAAAATTACAAATTCACTTCTTTTTATTGTTTTTTTTTCTAGTAAAACTTTTTCTCTAAAAACTAATTATCCAAATAACAATAAAACTCCTTCTAAATTTTTAAAAAATACAAATTGAAAATATATTAATACAGTCCAAAATAAATATATATCAATTACAAACAAACACAAAAAGTTTAATTACAATCCAAAACTTGAAGATTTCTTCTAATCAATCATACTATTAGAAGCTTTATTAGAAGATGCAATAACATTAATTTGAGTAGATTTCTCCAACACTTCATTTGCCACAAACAAAAAAATAAAACATAATTAAACATGAAAATATAATTAACATGTAAAAGTCTAAAAAGTAAATGAGAAAATATAGATATTATGATACAAGAATTTTGATGTCTTTCCTTTTATTTTTATTAATATAACTAAATTGCTTTTTCTTATATATTGTATGGAATAAGAAGTGCAGCTTGCTTTTTCTTAACTTTCCTTTCTTATTATATGTTGATATTAATTTTAGCAATGAAAATTTATTATTCATTTCTATGTTGTCAAAATGAAGGCTTCCTACCCTCCAATGAAGGTTAATTAGTTTAGTTATTAAGAATATGTCATCATACCTTGAGTGTGGTTTCAAATTTGGACTATCCAACTTAACAAATTTTATTTTATTTTTATTTTATAATTACCAAAATAAAAATTATAAAAAATTAATAAATCTATTTTATTATCAATCTAGATAATAAAGATTTAATTTCATGGCCCAATTCAATATTAAAATTTTTTAGAAGTTTTATAAATTAACTGCTGTGAATGATTCAGTTTTAAAATTTTCGCAAGTTTAGGAATTTAAAATGATTATGTGATTTCTGTCTTTGAAAAAAAAAGTGGACTAGCCCACGGGTTGTGGATTCACGCTAAATGGGGTAGGTTGAAACCACCCTACATAGAAATGAACCCACTTTTTTAACACAATCTGCATTTTTTTTTTTTGTGGCTTGGCAAGGTTGCCCCACCAACTATAGTCAAGTTATTGGGCACAACTGGTTAACTCCTTTACTAGATATACTATTTTATAGGAAAAATTACATATAGATCCTATAGAGCAAGCTTATTTATAAATATGTCTTGTGAAATTTAGAAACTGTAGACAGGTCTCTTGAGACCTAAGTATAATTTAAAATTAAATTGCAAAGACAATACTGCCCTAACTTATTAGACATGTGAAGTTACAATTTTAAAAGGTTAAAGTCGTAGTTGTAAATTACTGATAAAGTAGTTATAAACAATTAATATTAAACTTTGTTAGTAACGTATGATTAATTTAATTATTAGATATGTGAAATTACAGTTTCAAAATATGAAAGTGATAGTTAAAAATTTCTAATGAAGTAAATGTAAACATTAGTGTTAAATTTTGTTAGTAATATATTATTGGTGTAACTATAGGATATATGAAGTTATAGTTGTAAAATGTTGAAGTGATAGTTATAAATTATCAAAAAGGTAGTTTTATACAATTGGATATGTAAAGTTCTAATTATAAAAATTGAAATGTCAATTATAAATTATTGATGAAGTAGTTATAAGTTACTTGACGGATGTAATGTATTTTTAATACGAGCATTATTGTCATTTCTAAATTTTTCAAGACTTATTTAAAAATAAGTTTACTCCATGAGACCTATACATAATTTTTCCTATCATAATATATATATATATATATATATATATATTATAACCCATGCATTATGTGTATGTTCCATTAAGTATATTGGAAACGAAGCCATTTATTGTAAACTAGAAAACTAGAAAACAACACAATGCGTGAACTCACTTGGGTTGCTATGGCCATTGTTAGGCAATTACTTTCAGTGTAGAAGAGTAAGAATGTAGGTTCTAATTGATTTAAAATCTCCTCTTGACTATTTTGGAAATTTCTACCATATATGATTTGAAATAAGTAAACAAAGTGCGGCTAATATGAAAGAACACATTTACTCATTTTTTCCCTCAAGGAGAGATTTTTAACATCTTCACATGCAAATTGAGGGCAAGGAGAGTTGATGTTTATGGTATGTAGTACGTCTTATAGTTTTGATAAGATAGCCATAGTTGTAAGCCTTTGTATGTGGAGATTTTAATGCTTCATCCTCCCTATAACATGCATTGACAAACATGTTCGTGCACTTTTGAAAGAGATGGTATCTTACCACCATCATGTGTCCTTTTCTTTTCTAGGGATTACTCCAATATAGCATTAAGTTAGCTCTCAATGATGTGGCAATTGATTATTGTGATTTAAATTGTGTAGTTATCTTCAAGGCCTTTGTTATATTCAAGTCTTAGATTTTATTTCTATCTATTGAAATTTAAATTTAACTAGTAGACTAAGAACCTTGAGAAAGTATTTAATGGTGAGAAAACTTAACTCATCTGTGTGTGTTTATACTAACTAATATATATATATATATAAGTAAACACATATTTGTTAGTGACTGGTAACAAGTATGTTGTAGGTGAATAACATGTTCACTTAGGAATTGACAAGTATTGTATAGGATATTAAGTATTAAATGCTTATTTGCTGGTGACAAGTAAGGTGAGGACAATAACAACTTGACTTAGGAAATTGACAAGTAGTGTACAGGGCATTAACAAATAAGTGGTTATTTACTAATGACAAGTAGAGATAGGACATTAACAAGTTCATTTAGGAAATTGAAAAGCATGCATATATAGGTGTACATTGAGATGGTTAATGTGTGTCATACATGTTGTGATTCTAATTTTCCCTAATATCAAACATTGTGAATTTTTAATCAATTGAAAATGAAGGGAGAAAGGAAGGCAAATATTTTTAGTTATGCAAAGTCTATTGAAGAATTCTATAAGAAGAATAAAGACAAGTATAAATCGATTGGGGAAGGACAAGGAGATTTGACAAAAGTATGGGAGAAGTTGTTAGTAGCAGAAAAGGAGGAATAGTCAAAGAAAGTGAAGGAGGAGAGAGGAGAGACATGTCCAAAATATACTGTTTTCCTTCCATACTCATTGCTCCCCCGGTCATTTTTCAAAAGTTA